CTCCTTTTCCTGTTATTACACTATATATACACATTATATATATGTATCTACATTTGTGTTCACCATAGTGAACCACTAAGCTGGTATGGTGAGTGCAGACAGTAGCAAGTACAGTAGCCACACAGATTCAGCAGATGACTCTACCGCCCTCCCTCCCTCTACATTACTCCAACCACAATACTACGCACGGCGCAAATTATCACAACAAACCTATTATCATATCAGATATAGACAAAAATACAAGTCACAGCTTCGTATCATCCTTTGCAGATGACACAAAAATCAGTATGAAAATTACCTTGGCTGAGGACATTGAAAAACTTCAAGCTGATATTAATAAAGTTTTCGACTGGGTATCAGAAAATAACATGATGTTTAACAGTGATAAATTCCAGGTACTCAGGTACGGTAAAAATGAGGACCTTAAACATAATACAGAGTACAAAACACAATCAAATGTGCCCATAGTAGGAAAACAGCATGTAAAGGATTTGGGAATAATAATGTCTGACGACCTAACGTTTAAGGAGCATAACCAAGCAAATATTGCGACAGCTAGAAAAATGATAGGATGGATTACGAGAACTTTCAAATCCAGGGATCCCATTACAATGGTTGTACTCTTCAAGTCACTTGTGTTGTCCCATCTTGAGTACTGCTCAGTACTCACTTCCCCCTTCAGAGCAGGAGAGATTGCTGAAATAGAGGGAATACAGAGAACATATACGGCACGCATAGACGCAATAAAGCACCTAAATTATTGGGATCGTCTCAAAGCCCTCCAAATGTACTCACTAGAAAGAAGACGAGAGAGATATCAAATAATATACACCTGGAAGATACTGGAGGGCCAAGTACCAAATCTACACAGTAAAATAACAACGTACTGGAGTGAACGACATGGAAGAAAATGTAGAATAGAACCAGTGAAGAGCAGAGGTGCCATAGGCACAATCAGAGAACACTGTATAAACATCAGAGGTCCACGGTTGTTCAACGTCCTACCATCAAGCATAAGAAATATTGCCGGAACAACCGTGGACATTTTCAAGAGGAAACTAGATTTATTCCTCAAAGGAGTGCCGGACCAACCGGGCTGTGGTGGGTATGTGGGCCTGCGGGTCGCTCCAAGCAACAGCCTGGTGGACCAAACTCTCACAAGTCGAGCCTGGCCTCGGGCCGGGCTTGGGGAGTAGAAGAACTCCCAGAACCCCATCAACCAGGTATCAACCAGGTAAACCTGCTATTATCAGAATCCTAGTCATATTTATCACTGTCAGGGGGTCTTCTGTGATACAATCATCGCTAAATAATACCAGTTACACATATTTGTTCATTTATAGTCGATGCTGTGGTCAAAAGCTGAACAGCAGTGCTGTGAGCTCATGCTCACAGCATGAGCGCATATATGTACTACAGTACATATATGTGGTGTTTCCCCCCTCCCCTCCCGGAGAGGGGAAGCTGTGCAGACAGCAGAGCGGCGACGTGTGACGCCATGCTCGTTTGCTCGTTTCTTTTTAATAAACACTTTCACGCATCCGAGCAGACCATCGTTGTCACCAATATTATTAATCACACCGCACCCGTGCCCCTCTCGGGAGTCACGAGAATGTTTGCCATGAAATTTACGTTTTCTCTAATAGCCGAACAGCTTATTAAAGAGAACGTCGTGGCAGTGAATCATCGTGGTAAAACAATTGTATTATTGACACGACGAGTATAATCGACGTAGTTTTTATATATGTTGCCGGTCGAACGCATCCTTATGTGACCTTTAATACTTATGTTCTTATAGAACATTCTATTGCGAGCACATTGGTACAAAAATGAAATACATACATCGACAAATAAAGTCAGGACAGTGAATTGAATATACACTTTTCAAAGCGAGTTTCGCCGATATGCCGCCGCGGGTAACACTTCGGCCACTTCCCACACTGTTTTGGGTGGGCTACGACATTGAATCTATATTTATATGCATATGTCCGTGTAGAGAATTTTATTGCGATTCCAATGATACCACAGTTAGCGATGTAGGACAACTGTAGGCTTCGCAACCATTAAGAGAGTGGAAACATTTTGTTGCTGTTTGGCGCTCTCGGCGAGTGATCTGAATAGTTTTTTATTTGGTGTTGATAGTCCTTATGCTTTGGCGGCATTTTATAGGTATGTTCTTATAGACAATTTTATTGCGAACACAGTGATACCAAATTTAAATACGTGCGCCTTCAATTATTGTCAGGACAGTCAAAAGAGTGTACACTTTTTCGGTCTTACGTATGATTTTTTTTTGAACCTCTCTGCCGAGAGCGCGAAAGTGATAAATGCGGTGTTGAAAGACTGCTCGCTGTCGGTGAAATTCAAACCTTATTGTTTGAAAAACATAAGGGTCATAATATTGGTGAACCTAGGCACAATAAAAACCTAACACAAAGGTCAGATGCAAGTGATACAGCACCTATGAGGACGATACAGTGAGCGTATTCACTGAGCGCCACCCTTGCCCACCTTTGCTATCTCCAATTTATTTAGATGATACATAGATGAATCATTTTCTGGGTTCAGTGATGATGCATCTGAAACAAGTAGCATAGATGAACAGTGTTAGCGGCTTCCATGGTGGTGTTTCCCATAGATATTTTCAAGAATAACTGAATCTCTTCCAGACTGACGGACACCCTTTGAGGCTGGCTGAATCTCTTCCTGTGTGGGACTTTACAAAGCGATCTTTTCACGACTACCTTACAAATTGATCTTTTCCTGTTCTAATCGTTTCAAGACTACCTTACGTTTTACAAGCTTGACTACATACCCCCTACAGGTACTAATGCCAAGGGTGTACGTGAGTGCGTTATTTGCAAGCACACAGAATGAAGAAACAGGTGGCGAAAATCTATCTGTGCCTGGTGCAACAATAGCGAAGTCGTGCTGTGTACCATGGACTACTTCATTGATTATTACTCACTTCCGAAGTACTGAGTGTGTAATACAGTGTGTTACTGTGTAAATAGTGTGTGAAACTGTACATGTTGTAATTTTAGTGAATTTTTAACAAGTAATATTGCGACAATATACATTTATTGTGGACACATTACTGACACATGTATCACAATTCCATGGAACATTATGAACGTTCTACTGTATACATATTGTAAAGGACACACACATGCATCATATACGATAAAAAAACAAAAAAAATGCATTGGAAATACATAGAACAAATAATTGAAAATATATTTGTGGCAACACCCAGTGCTTGGATGGCCCGCGTGATCGTGTCTGGGCTTGTCACGCACGGGCGACCAGCCTCTGATGACGTCACAGCACAACTTGTCCACGTCCCCACAGCCAAAGTAAGTGGAATTTGATATTTATTTTTACATAGACATGTTCAGGGAAGGGAATTTATCATTTTACGAAGAAACAGAATTTTAGGGAACACTTTATTTCATGCGCACAGGGGAATTTCACAATAAACTCAGCACAGCACAGACATTAATGTATTGTGTGGTATCGGTAATGTTACTCAAATCACCTATATATGTATTGTGTGGACTAAGGGTTAAACATGCACGCAATGAGAGCATGCTTGACGGGTCAGTCCATGACAGGCGACGCAGCAGCTTGCAGTGGAATTACCAGCACCTGAAGGCAGCTAACCAAGCTGGACACTCAGGTACTAGGAATGTTCACTGGAAGAACAAGCACCAAATGTAGCTTAAAGGATTAACTTGGCTACAAAGGGTGCGACCGGCATGCCATGTAAACTAGTACACACCCTAATGCATCACAGAATCTAAACTCCCCAACCACAAGGTTGTGCAGATGATGATGATGTTTTCGATTTACTGTATCTACTCGGAACGAAATGGCCACGTAGCACAGACTATAGTGAGCCCATAAATGAGTTTGGTTACTCGCAATAACCTTCTTACTGTGATAATTGGGTCAAAGTGTTGTGTAAACAATCCAAGACTCATGTACTATCCCAGGACGAGACTCTCCTTGCCCTGGTTCTATTGGCATTTTTTCGAGGCTGCAGTCTAGATTATAGCCAGCAGTACTATTAATCTGTTTTGGTTCCCTGACTTTCTGGGTGCTTCTCTGGTGGTGGCAGACATGTATAGATTCATAACAATTTTATTGAAAGTGCCACCGCTCCTTGCACTTCTTTTGAGAGTACCAGGTTCTGGCTCATAATCCCCGGTAGGCCTAAAAGAACTCTGCTACTGATGGCACCAGAAGTTTGCACACTATCAGAGCTAGTAGCTTTAGGAAGCCACAAGCGGCTCCCCCCAAAAAAATTACACATTTGAAATTTTTTGATGAGCAAACAACACACAAAAAAATGAAGGAACAATAATGCTTTGGTCCATCCTGGACCATAATGATAAAAAAATGGACCATAATGGACAAACAGGGACACAGTAAAATAAAATAAGCAGATGAAAGAAAAGACATGGACCACAATGGTCCAGAACAGACAAACTTCACCGTTCCTTCATTTTCTGATATGTGGCTTAGTCATCATATCTTCAGCCACAATAGTGTGTGATAATCAGCCACATTGTCTGCATTTTAATTTGTTTATACTAAAATGCAGATACTCCTGCAGTTTACCTGGTTATTCCTGCCATTTACCCTCTTATTTCTGCAGTTTACCGAGGTACTCCCACAGTTTACTCTAAAACAATGAACACAATTTCATTGGGATTACCAAAATTAGAATAACCAAGCTCTTACAGTAACATTTTTAATACTTTATCATTTAATATCTATAACCATTTATTATATTACTTACCTCTTCTTTTTTTTTTGCTAATCTCCCCATGAAAATGGGAGATGGGGTATGATGATGCATGTATGTTCTGCACAACAGTTCAGTTAATCAAGCATTCCAATGAATCCAGTACTTGCTGTATATCAATATGAGTTGTAATCAACTATGAAATATCCTATACAAAAAAAAAAAAATTTATTATGAGCAAATTCATTACCTTTGTCAAGTGAGTTCTCATTTCAGGCGCAAGTCTATATCCTCGATAATTTGGAGGACCCTCAATATCCAGAGCCCAGTCAAGCTCATTGACCTCACGGCCCATACCAATATAATTCCGATTCACTAGAAAAGAAGCAAAAATGATTATAGTGTATAAACTGCATGCATTATATAAATTTAATCTTCAGAAATTTGAATATTGAGCTAATTACCAACACCCAGAAAGAGGTACAAATCTAGGAAAAACAAGCACACAATAATTGTTCCATTATTCAAGACAATACAGTACAATATTGCAAAAAATGACAGATATTAGATGAACTTACTACTCAAGAGATTTAGCATGGACGGTTGAAGGGCAGCAGAGATAAGGTCTTGGGAAAACAATCCCATCGTTGCTAGGTACACTACACATGACACAAAACACTTTGGATAGTGGTTAATTTCAAACACTCTCTCTGGACGCCTCAATTCCTCCGCAATCAGGCCAAAAATGTCAGGCTGGCTAGGGGGCACACAGTTATACAACATCAGTACAAAAGTTATTCTCTCTATATCTTTTAATCTTAGTACCTTTATATCACTTGCAAATTTAACAGCAATAGTGTCAATGACTTGAGGATGAAAGACAAGAAGATCACTTCCCAGTAGTGCAACTTGAAGGAGACACATGTTGTTGAGTCTATCAAGATGTGGCTGAAGGAAATCCAGTAGACTGTGCAGCAACTGCCACTGTGTAACAGGAATACTCTTTCGTAATAATTTCAAAATGGCACACAGAGATGCATCAGATACAAATTCTAAATTTTCCTTAGTTTTCTTTACAATGGCTTTTAAGAGTTCCTCACTTTGAAGAAAAGTCTGAGTTTTAAAGAAGCCCATTGCAATCACGCCAAGCTCCTCTACTGAAATTTGTTCCAGCACTTCATTAAGGCGTTTTTCTATTTCTCGCTTAATTATAAATGGTTCCAATTTTCTACTCAAGTTAGCATAAAATAGATACTGCACCAACTGGGCAGGGGCCATTGAAGTCACTCTTTTTCCCAAAACTTTAGTCATTTTCACATTGTACATAGATATTCTGGAGAGCCGCAATGTAAACCAATGGTCAGCCACCAGAAACATCAGTCCCATGTCCCACTGTCGCATACGTTCGGTGCAAGCCTTGTCCAAGGCATTCCACAATGCCACAAAATTTGGGGTAGTCGTTGCACTGGTTGGAGGCCAGAGGGACAAAGCAGACAGTACCATTAGCAGCTGGTTGTCACTTATGTGTGTCAATTTGCTACTAAGTGTAGCACAAAGTCCCGAGTGTTTCGAGTCCTCCAAGTCCATAGGATGGTGACGACAGAGCTGGGACATGGCAATAAATCCATTTGCTACTTCCTCAGCACTGCATCTTGCCCATTCTGAGTCTGAGAGTTGAACTGCATGCTGATAGAATGAGTGATTTAATATATTGTCCCCTGCTACTGTAGTAGCATGGTAAGCAGGTAATGAGCGCAAAATAGCATGTGCATGCTCATTTTCAGAGTCACAAAATTCTTTAACATAAAATACTGTTCCCGAATGCAGAGATCTAGCAATAACTTTGTTGAATGATCCCCTTGCAGCGTGAGTGACCCGTTGTGTCGTTGAGAAACGATCATGGCCAGGAACATGGCTCTGTTGGTGCCCCTGGCTAAGGTGACTGCTGTTAAAATTCTGTACATTATAAGCCTTTACACTTTGCTGGATGATCTCTGTCCTGTTATTGATCAAGCCTCTCCCAAGGGCTTGTACCGTTGGCCATAGCCTCTGTGCACACATTTTGCTTGAAGAAAGTCTTAGAATAAAACCAAAACTGCTCTACTGATGTTCACAGTTCTGGAAAACAGAAGAAAAAAACAAAGAGGTAAGAAGCATAAAGATGTCATATAGTATAGTATTACAAGAACAAACAAACTCAATGGTGAAAAAGGTTCACATACTTAACTGAGTGAAGTGAACCAGTCTTTTTTTTTTTAATGAAAGGCTAATTTCTTTGTTAGTTGCACCATACATACGAAGGATATAAGTTGAGCACTGTAAAATGTGCATGTTAACTCCTGTGCTACCCCCTAAACAAAGAAGCACCTTGACAGCCCCCAACCTCCAAGCCTTGCAGAGGAGTTAATGACCTGTGAGCCACTCAGGGTAGTGCACCCCCACAAGAGGCTGCCCTCTTAGGGACAAACACCCAAACCCACCAGAGGGAACAACAGTGAGCACCTATAGAAGTACAGTACCTGATATGTCTGTTACTGACAATCCTACACTCACAGATACCAATCCCCTCCCACAAAATGTACAACCGAATCCCGATCTTGTTGAAACTCGTCACTCGCATTGAAAATGCACTAGAAAAGATGCTGGACCGACTTCCAACTAAATTCTTTACACGAGTAACTCGACCCATCCCCGAGGTTGACCCACAAGACATTCCATCGACATCTACAGACAATGACATCCTCCCAAACACAACTACCATTGTCGGATACACATCGTTTGAACTGATGATGGAAAAACTCCTAAATAACTCCTTAGTATGCTTTACCAAAGTCACTCCCCAGGCTGATTTGCCACAAACCCCAACCACCAGCTCCAGGAGTAAGAAATCCTCAGCTGTACAAACTTCCCAACAACCTGGCCCTTTGACTGAAAAATCATATAAAGCACATTCTCCCACGACACATCCTCCAACCAATCCCAGATATTCAACACGAGTATTACTGGCACGTCAAAGAATACCGATGTACTGTAATCACATCCCAAATGTAAAAATCTGAAATACAACATAACAACCTTTCTTCAACTAACCTTCCCCAACCAAACTTAACAGACCCTACCCCCAACCAAACCTAACCTAACCAACCCCAACCTAATCTAACCTAACCGTATACACATTAACGCCATGTTACTTAATGTACTCTAACTCCCTACATTAATCTACCCTAACTTATCTGAATTGTGACTAATGCCCATACATACATACTGTACTCACAATCTGTTTCTTGACTAATCCCCACTTTTCATAAAACAGCAATATATGGATACCACCCCTTCATCTTTACCATCCAAAGTCCATTTCTACTCATATGTTTATTTTTCTCATTATCCTCACACAAACAGAAGACATCAATAACTTCCAACCTCCGCTAAATTCTGAACATTGATGTGCCACCGAAAGTGCCACATCTATCAACATCACCACTCGTGCAGTCATCGGGAGGAAAAACTTTCATGCAAACTGCACGTATAGTGAAGAAGACACAATGTAGGATTGAGAACAGGAGATGCTTTTTCACCCACAGGGTTATAAACCCATGGAACCCATGGCTTCCCGGCAACCCTCCCTCCCTCCGGTCGGCGTTTTTCGCGTGTTTTGACATCCAGCCTCAGAACTGATGGGTGGATAGCCGGCGTGGGAGGTCTGGGGCTCCCCCTTCCCCCTCCCGGGAAGGGGGGAGCTGCTCAAACAGCGGCGCGGTGACGTATGACGTCATACTAGTTTCCTTGTTTTCTGTTGAAGAGTTCTATCCACTAGTTCGGCTTTAGGTAGCAATTTTCACCAGAATAGGGGTTTGTTTTGGAATGCTTACCTTTCTGGATGCTTGACCCGGTCGATGGCAGACTTAGAATGCTTCCAACCACACGGGGGTTTCTATAGGCCATTGCTCCCCTTGCCTCTCTGAGGGGGCCAGGTTTTGGCTCGTGGTCCCCGGTAGGCCCTAGAACTCCATACACATGACTGATGCCAAAGTCTGACATTAGCATATCAGCCGGTAAAGCTCCGGGGAGTCGACGGGGCTCCCCCCAGAAAGTACAGTACTATCTAAACAGGAGGATGGGTTGATATATTCAGTAGGCCCATGCATAATTAACAAATAAAAATTACATATTGGCCATAAAGGGCAGTACTGTAAGTGCATGGACTTTATGTTTATAAAGATTATACAGTGGAACCTCGAGTGACGAGCGGCTCTATCTACGAGCATTTCGATTAACGAGCGAGCCACTCGCCAAAAATTTGTCTCGACTGAGGAGCTTTCGCTCAATTAACGAGCGAAACCACATGGTGCTTCCTAGTGTTCTCGCTGGTTCTCACAAATTCTCGGACGCCTCCGACGACAGTGTTGTTGTATCGTGCAGGACAAGCATCCCTTTGCATTTATTTGTGCTTTTCTTTCAATTTTTTGTGGTATTGTCACTACAATTTGTAACGCACGATGTCGCCAAAGAAGCCGCTTGCTAAAGATAGTGTTGTCAAGAGAAAGAAAGACACAATTACTGTGGATTTTAGGAAGGAAATTATAGCAAACTACAAGCGTGGTGTCCATGTGACTGATCTCGCCAGGGAGTATGTCAGGTCCTCATCAACAATTTGCACCATTTTGAAGAGAAAGGAAGAATTTTTAAGAAGCTTGAAGTGGCTAAAGGAGTTACCAAGGTAACTAAGAAATGTCCAAAAATCCTAGAAGAGGTTGAAAAGCTACTGCTGGTCTGGATGAATGAAAGGTAATCACATGGTGATTACAGTGTCTCTGAAGCTCTTGTTTGTGCTAAGGCAAAGAAGCTGTATGTAGACCTTGTCAGGAAGACACCAGGTGCGTCGTCTGAAGATGAGGAGATATTTAAGGAGAGTCGTGGATGGTTTGAGAAATTTAGGAAGAGAAGCAGTATACACAGTGTTGTGCGACATGGGGGAGGCTGCCAGCTCTGAAAAAGCTGCTGCCGAGAAATTTGTACCAGAGTTCCAGGAATTTCTTGCTAGAGGAGTTCTTGCCCCAACAAGTTTTTAATTGTGATGAGACTGGCCTGTTTTGGAAGAAAATGACGAAGAGGACCTACATCACACAAGAGGAACAATCTTTGCTTGGCTACAAACCAATGAATGATCAGCTTACCCTCGTGCTCTGCGCCAATGCAAGTGGCGATTGTAAGGTCAAGCTGCTGCTCGTCTACCACTCAGAAAATCCACAAGTGTTCATGGCATGCAAAGTGCACAAGATGCGACTGAATGTGATGTGGAGGTCCAATAAGAAATCCTGGGTCACGCGGATATTCTTCAGTGAATGGGGTCAATGATGTTTTTGGCCCCTCAGTGAGGAAGTATCTTGAAGAGAAGCAGTTACCACTCAAGGCCTTGCTTGTGCTCGATAATGCTCCTGCACATCCTCCACAGATGCAAGATGATTTGTTTCCCGAAAATCAGTTCATCACCAAGTTTCTTCATCCCAACACCACTCCACTCCTCCAACCCATGGACCAGAAAGTCATTGCCAACTTTAAGAAGCTCTACAAATCTACACTACATGGACATGGGGAAGTCAAACTATAAATAGGAATTTTGACAAAGCTCATTATCCAGCTGTCAAAACCATAGACATCATTAAGTTAGGCTTTGTTAGCTTAGTTAAGTTTAGTTTAGCTAAGCTTAGCTTAGCTTAGGATAGGTTGAGATATTCCGGATTATATTAGGCTGAATTTGATTAGGAAGGTTTTTAAAATCTAGCAGATATTGTGGTAGTTGGCAACATTCTTAACTCACAATCCACACTCCTGGATTCGATTCTTGAGTTGGACAGAAATAGTTAGAATAATTTCCTTTCACCCAATGCCTCTCTTCAGCTAGCAGTAAATAGGTACCCGAGAGTTAGGCAACTGTTGTGTGGGTTGCATCCCACGATGGGTCAGTACTTTGACCTAGGAGGGATCTCAATATAAGCATAACAAGTATATATACACAAGCTACCTGTTCCCATCAAAATTAATTATAAATTTTTAGATAACGCTTCATAATTCAGTTGGTTTTCAAGTTACTGTACTGTACTGTATTTATGAAAAACAGCACTTTTCAAAGATGCCTATTGCCCACTGATGAAACTTCCCAAAACAGTACCACACTAGGCCTAGAGGTTCTTACATTCTTGTAAATCCACAAACATGCATTTCGAGCAAGTCCTAATTTTTCCCAGAATACGACCCGCCAAATTGTTTAACCACCAGGTACTCATTCACCGCCTGGGTGAACAAAGGCTACAGTTAAGGATTTGCGCCCAGTAAATCCTCCTTGGCCAGGTTACGAATCCAGGCCAAAATGTTCATGAATTGCTGGGCGAGTACTTTACCACTTCACCACATGTCCCGCCTCCCCCCGTTTCCTTCTGGTCCTCCCTCCCCGTTTATCCCATACCCTCCCTGTCCCCCCGCCCCTCACCCCAGTATCCTCTGAGACCCTGTTATCCACCTCACAAATCCTCACACGCATGGAACAGCTTTCACCACCAGCAGAACACTCACCAAGGAGGCGATTTGAGAAGGGATAGAAGAAAGTGAGCCTCAGGGCAATGTACACTAACATAGATGGAGTTACAACTAAAGGAAATGAGCCTGGAGAATGGGTACTAGAGGAAAACCCAGACATAATAGCACTCACAGAAACAAAGCTAACGAAAACCATAACAAATGCAGTGTTCCCACAGGAATATTATATTATGAGGAAAGAGAGAGAAGGAAGAGGCGGTGGTGGTGTAGCTCTGCTGGTATGAAAGGGCTGAGACTTTGAGGAGATGGTTATTCAGGGCTGTGAGGGTTTCAGTGACTACATAGCAGGTACCATAACTGGAGGACAAAAAATTATAGTCGTAGTCATATATAATTCACCACCAAATGACAGAAGACCCAGACAGGAATATGATAGAAACAACATGGCCACCATTAACATAATAGAGAGAGCAGCTTCTGTTGCCAGCAGGAATGGATCTGGACTACTAATCATCAGAGACCTCAACCACGGGAAAATAGACTGGGAGAACAGAGATCCGCATGGAGGACCAGAAACACGG